TATTCAGTTTGTGGAAAATGACATCATAATAGCATCACACTGTTTGTCACTGTTTACATGAAATTGTGAAGCCAAGACTTCCCAAGCTAATTTTAGCCACAGATGCTGGATCTTTATTCATAGATTTTTGTTTGTTTGTTTTAATGTAATTTTTTTATCCATTATGAACCACTTATTTTTACAGAATTGACAAATCAATGAATACATTATGAATAGAAATGACATAATTTTCACATTATAAAACTAAATTACACAATAGAAAATTAAAAAAGAAAATTACACAAGTATCAAAGTAGCAGTTTATATTGAACAGGAGTGTACCTGAGGTTATGATGAAGTCAAACCACAAAAAAAAATCTCAGGCTGATAGAGAATTCTCAAGGTAATGGTGTGATCGACCGACTGCTGTAAGCTGATGGACAGGGGTTTGTTCAGTCGTTTGTGAGTGACTCACTATCTGGGGAGCATTTCCTCTAGGTCAGCGACCACATAGGCCACCACAGCCCAAACAGCAGAACACAGGTTCATCTCCTCTGGGTTTTGGACGCTCATTGTGTCACCGTCGCTGTGGTGGAACCAGAAGTACCTCTGGTCTGCAGTGTGCAGGCTGGCGCCTGAGAAAAAAGATACATAATGAACAGAACTGAAATGGTGTGATTCTGTGTTTCATATGTGTGAAAACTGTCCTTCTGCCTTAGAATATTAAATAGTCTGGCTTACGTCTGCTCTTTAAAATAGTTCACCCAAAAATGAAAATTCTATCGTCATATACTCACCCACATGTTCCAAACACACATTCTTTTCAATGCAGTTATATAAAAATTATGAATACCTCAAATGTTCTGAAGCCATATGATAGCGTGGTTTAAGAAACAACTTATGGAAGCTTGTTTCTGGAATAAAAAAATAAAAAAGGTAATTGAGACTTTTTATCTCAGAATTCTTAGAATTCTGAGTTTACAACTCACAATTCTTTTTTTTTTCTTTTTTCGCCACAGTATTAAAAAAGTAAATAAATAAAAAAGGTAATTGTGAGACTATATCTCACAGTTCTGGCATTACTATGAAATATAAACTCAGAATTGCAAGAAATAAGTCAGAATTGTGAGATAAAATGTTGCATTTATCATTTTTATTTATATTTCTTCCTCTGGCGAAAATGGGCTTGCATAACAAACAGACATGGTTTTCTGAAAATCTTAAATTCCTATGTAGTTACCATATTTTCCGGTACATAAGTGCCGTTTTTATCATTTGAACTGTGCTACAATTGAAATAATAAAGTGGCTTATATAATGAAAATAACGTCAACATTTGGATTTGTACAGTGCATTTTCCATACATCTGCAGTTTCATTTCGCTTTAAATAAATTAGTTTGGGCTTGCCATTTAATATAAATTCCACAATAATTTATTTTTGCTTTATACTTTTATTTTTTATTCCTGTTCTTTTCTGAATGTTGTTAAATTTAAAGGTTTTGTTGTGGAGTGCGGTGATACAGTATTTATAGTATTTATAATGTATGTCAACTTTTTTTTAACTGGTATTTTACATTAATCTGAATGTAATAATATAACGTGACTTACAGACTGATGTGACTTATTTGTTTTTTTTCTTTTTCTTCTCTTAAAAATGCAATTTTGAACCAGTGCGACTTACAGGTGCATCTCAATAAATTAGAATGTCG